CAACTCCCGCATGGGATGGTGGCTACGCCCACCCGCAATTCCCCAACACTGTTCCCCCCCCCCAGTTCCCCAATAAAATCTTTAAAAAAAAAAAAAAAAAGACGGCCAGGGTCTGGCTCTACCTAGGGAGTGGTGGGGCCCTTGGCCTCACCCCCAGAGTGGCCCCAGGAAGAAGTCACTTTTGATCAACAAAGAGAGGCTGCCCAAACCCAGACAGGCACTGGCGCCCATACACATCAGAGGACAAAAAGTGCTACATGCCACAGCAGATACCCATGTGTGCACGGGCAGAATGTCTGCATCCACCTTTGCACTCACCCCCCACGCGGGGCTGAGCTTGACAAGAAGGCCGCATGCCGAGGGCAGCCTAAGCCCCAGGGTAGTGCCTCCTGGAGAGGCTGAGCTGGGCCTGCGGGCACATCTCCCAGTCATCGAGTCCTGACTCTGCTGCTCCCTGGACCCGTGCCTCAGTATCTACCCACTGTGGCACAGGGTAAAAACCCCACCAGCAGACCAGGGCACCACCACAAGCAGTCAAGGTGCTGGAGTATGTGACAGTGAGGGCAAGAGACCCTCCCTGCCCTGATGTCCACCAGACCTCGGCCAGAGCCAGCCTGCTTGGAAGGGCCTGCTCCCAGTCTGGGGTCACTACAACTGAGGCCCCCCCCCAGGCATGTGGGGGTTGCCCAAGTCAGGTGACACTCCATCAGGAGGGCCTTGGAGGTGACCCCAGAGAACAAGCATCAAATTCAGACCCGTCTGAAAGGAGGCCACTGGAGCTGGCACCTCAAGGGCTGCGGGGTTTCGGGTGGGATGAGGAACAAAGCTGCTGGTTCTGCAGTGCGGGAGGCGGCCCGCTGCTCTCAGGAGTACAGGACCTGTAGCCAGGTACATGCTTTAAAATAGCCCAAGGGAGGAGGCGCCCCACCCGGACACTTCTTCTGAAAACTTTTCAGAAGAAAAGTTTCCCAACAAAGTTAGAAAAAAAAGGAGGGGGGGGGATCCAGTGGCCGGGCAGAGTAATGAGGGCTTACAAGGGTTATCCAGCCTAATCCTCCCAACAGCCCTTCCATTCCCAGTCCTCTGGACGGGTGAGACACAGGCTCCAGGGGGGCACCCACAGCCCCTTCCCCTCCCAGCTCCTTCACTTGTAAGTCACGCAGGCCTGTGTGGCCTGGGGTGCCTGGGCAGGCTCTGGTGCCACCTCAAAGAGACCCCTCTTTCCTCTCTAGGTTCAGTTGTAAAATGGGGTGCTCCAGGCCCCAGATGGGGCATGTGGACCAAAAAGGGGCCACATACGAAAGCTGACAAGCTCAGGCGAGGCCTGCATGGCAGGCCTTACAAACCCAGAGACCAAAGTAACCACACAGGAGTCTGAACACTCTAGAAGTGGGTCATGGCGGGTAGTAAGGTCCTAGGCCCCGTAGCTTCCTTGACGAAGGTCAGTCTTTACCTTTGAAATTATCTATTGTCTTGTGCATCTAAGATAACACACCTTAAAATGTCAGTCATTTCCTTTTTGAGACTCCTCAGGGCACAACCTCCCACCTGAGCAGGAGGCCACAGAACCCCTCCTGGTTCTCTGGTCCCCCGAATACTATCTCCATGTGCTGTAAATGTTGTTAACTGTCCTGTACCCACCGATGTGAAAGAAGTGTCTCTGTTTTACTTCTTATCCAATCCCTGGGATCCCCCACTTTGCTTCTCCCACCCCCTTAACCTACCACCAATGGATTCCATGTAACCCCCTTACGTCTTCTCCTTTGATTCCAATGTATAAAATAATCTACAAAACTGCCGTTCTCTGGAGCCTTTTCTCAATTGGTTGAGATTCTGCTTCCCGGCAATTGTCAGTTTGGCTCAAATAAACTTTTATAAAGCGTTTTCTTAGGCTGATGGATCTTTCGTGGATAAGCCCCAAGTGGAACCTGAGGCCCTGGGGGGAGGGGGCGCTCATGGGCTCAGTGCAGGGGCTCAGAGGCCATAAGTCCAGCCTGGGGCTCAGCCCAGGTTAATGAACCACCCAGACGCCCTAGAGGCTCAAAGTCCAGCTCGGTGGAGGAGGCGGTGGGAGAGGTTGCAGCCAGTGGCTTCCGGGAAATAGTGAAATGGTGCACAGAGGAGACCCCTGCAGGCGGGGTGGGGTGGGGTGGGGTGGGAGGAAGGGCAGCCTCCTGCTGCTCCCATCAACCTCCCTTCCAGGTAGGAGACCCTGCTCAGACCCTCACCAACCCAAACGGGTCTCATATGGAGATGGGCTCTGCCTTGGTAGGGCCTGCGGTGGCCAGGGCAGTCCAGGGCTGACACCTTTCCCACCGTCCTTGACCCCAGCCAGCTCTGACTCCATAATTTATGTTCCTGGGAAAGTGCCAGCCAGCCAGGACCTCTGGAAATTTCACGAGGCCTTTGTATTTTTACTGCCCGGCCCATCTCTTTAAGGAACCGGATTAAGTTTATTGACCTATCAACTCACTACGTATTTTACCAGCTCTACTGCAGGGGCGGGAGTGTGGGTGCGCCAACGCTGTGGCAGAGGGAGAAGGCCCTGCGCCCACCTCCAGCATCCCTGGGGGGTCCTTCCTATCGCTCTGCCCCAAGCCCGCCGCCGGTGGGAGCGCCACAGGCTTTGCGTCCCAGGACGTGGCCTCGCAGTCATCGCCAGTTCCGGGAAGGGAGGTGGATGGAGGAGGCCGCTACCCCCGCGCGCCGCAGGGGGTCCGGGAGAGGGTCTGGAGCCCCGCCCGCTGCCCCCTCCCCCGGAGCTAGTTGACATTCCCTGGCCGTAGGGAGTAATATCTTTATCTGAATGCGAATGCTAATGCGGGGCTCCCCCCGCGGCCGCCTATTCGGCGCCCCTGGAAGCGGGGGCCGCCCGAGCAGGCGTAAAAGCGCGCGCTGACCTCCCGACGGCCTCTGTCACGCCGCTGAATGACACGCACATTCAAGCGCCGGGCCCACTTTCATTCATAAAAAAATGACATTGTTCTGGGAGGCTGCAGCCGCTGCCGGAGAAAGGGGCGCGGGGGGCGCAGGGAGGGGCGGGCCGCCATCTGCCTGTGTCCCGCCCGCGGCCGCCGCCTCGCTGGCACAGGCGCGCCCGCAGCCGCAGCGCTCACACCTCCCGGCGAGGCTGCCGCGGCGCCCGCCATCAATACGCGTCTATGGCCGCGCCGAGGTACAAAGGAGCGGCTGTTCGGGTCCGCCCGGGTGGGGCGTGAGCTCACCGGGCGAAGGCCTCCCTCCGCGCGGCCGCCGCGCTGGGGGCAGGGTACGCACAGCCCCCTCGCCCGCACCCAGGAGGTGGCTGTCCCCGAGGGGCGGGCTCCCTGTGGCCGCCTGCCGAGCCACGCGCCTCCGCCCCGCCGCCGGGAGCCTGGCAGCGCGCGTGCGGAGCGGCTACCCCCGGAGCGCCGGGTCCGGCCCCGCTGGGGGCGAGCGCTCCACTTCGACGGCCGCGGCGCGTGTGCGGGGCGGGGCCTGGCGCAAAGATGCGCCCCGCCCCTCCGCGGGCCTCGCGCTACGGGCGGAGCCCTCCTCCAGCCCCTCGACGTCCCGCGGGACCTTGACCACCAGCCGGCGTCCGCGGCTCCACGTCCCTCGGACGTCTGCCCTCTCACCTCCTGGCGTCCCCCCTGGCGTGCGGCGCGCACCCCTGGGGGAGAACACACCTTCATCCACAGGGCATGAGAGCAGGGTGGGGGTACGGCGGCACTAGAAGGTATCGCCCCGTCACACAGGGCGCTGGGTGGCAAAGGCCGCGCCGCGCGGGCTGACGCACTCTCATACCCTCCCTCCAAAGTCCCGTCCCTCGCTTTGGCCGAAGCTAGCCATGAACTGGGGCACGGAGAGGGGTTGGGGGAACGGCACCAACAACAGGAACTTTCCGTCAGTGCAAAACCCGCAGAGCAACAATAGGAATCGTGGAGACGCAGCCCCCACGCCCTCCCGATGGCGCCTGGGGGCAGACTGCGCCCACTAGGGAAGCGCGGGGGCGGGGGCTGAGGACGCCACCTCGTGCCCAGTTCGCCGCAGCCTCGCGTCTGGGTGGTAGCCCTGCGGCTCCAGGCGCCCCACAAACTGCCGCGCCAGCTCTGGCCACGATCCCCGGGGAGGAAGGGCAGCAGAAACCCGGACGCTGGCCTCGAGGTGCCAACTCAGTACGCGCCTTCGGGCCCACTCAGATCGGCGGCCCTCACCACCCGGGCACCCGTTCCTCGGCCGCGATGCCTCTGCCTGCCGGGGCCCCAGGCCCCTCTCCTGTACCCGTCGGGTCCTTCCTTACCTGCTGCTCTCCGCACGACGCGCTGCTCCGCGCCCGGGGGCCCCGAAGCAGCGCCGGCCACAACCGCCACGGCCACGCAGAACACGAGGGCGCAAGCCGGGGCGCCCATCGCGGGGGCAAGGGCGATGGCTTTCTCAGGTGGAGCGCGTGGGCATGCTGCCCCCCATGGCCCGGCTCTGGCACCGGCGGGAGGAGGGCGCCGCTCCGGAGTCTGCGGGAGGAGGCAGGCAGCTCGTTACCCGGGCCGCCTGGCGCCGACCGCCTCCTCCCGCCGCGGTCCCTCCCTCCTCCCCCCTTCCCTCCCTGGCTGCTGCAGAGCCCTCCCAGGGCGGCGGCGGCCGCAAACTTTCCAGAGCGGGAAGCCCGCGCCGCCCCGGCCGGGCCTCGCCGGAGACTGCTCGGGATCCCGGCCCGCCGCGCGCCCTGGCTCCGCCGCGCGCCCGCCTCGACCCCTCCGCGCCTGCCCGGCCCCCGCGCACCGACCTGGCGGCCGCCGGCGCCCAACTAGCTGCGCGCGGCCCTTGCTTCGGCTCGCTGCTTGCTGGTCCAGCGCCTGCGCCCCGTCCCTCCTGCCGTCGGTTCGTCGGTGCGCCGGGCCGAGAAGGACCGCGCGGCGCCAGATGCCCGCGCCGCCGCCGCCACCGCGCACTGATCCTAGGCTGCCGGGCGCGCTGCAGCCAGTGGGGGCCGGCCCGCGCGCGCCCCGCCCCCGGCCCCGCCCGCCCTGGCGCTTTCGGGAGCGGGGACACGCCCCTCCCCTGGGGCGGTCCGGAGGCGGGGCGGCTGCTGGCCTTGTCCCCGCCCGCCGAGGGGATTAGAGGGGGCGGGGCCAGGCGGGGGCGCCGGGCGGTCTCCGAGGGCGTGGGAGCCAGGGCTAGGCGAGTGAGGTCTCCGATCGCACCGCTAGGCGCACAGGGAGGCCAAGCGCAGGCCTCTGTTTGCACAGCGCGAAGTCCCAGTTACAACCCGGCCGCGGATTGGGGGCCCAGTGGGGTCTCGGTGGGTGAATCAGATCTGAGAGGCTTCACCTAGATTCTAGGTCCTAGAAGGTGCTACCCAAGCTGTACCCAGAGGTGTGAGCAGCCAGTCTTCAGGTGTGGGGGCTGGTGCTGTGTGCAAAGGCCTGGGGGTGAAGGGCAGCTCTGCCTGTTTGCCTGGGGCCAAAATGCAAGGGGACGGCACCCCAGAAGCTGTGGGCTTAGTGCTGCATTTATTAGGCGCCTGTGGCACACATAGCTAAGCTGCCTGAGTTCCATGCAGAGGGGGTCATTATCCCACTTTTGTAGGTGACATGAGTTTGCAGATGGGGTGCTTGACAGGCATCAGGATGGAGAGCAAGGGCTGGGGGCCCCAGTGGGAGACCACCCCTAGGGCTCTGAGGAAGGACCACGAGGGGAGCTGGTGGCAGAGCCTGAGCTGGCCTGAGGTGTACCAAATCCCGGGGCACTGCAGCGCGGTGCAGACTCGAGCTGGGGAGGACCCAATGTGACTGGCTTCTGTGCACAACTGCACAAGGGGGCTCTTCTCCCACTTTCAGGCAAGCCCAGGAGTGTTGAGGGCCTACAGGAGCCAAAGAGGGGAGCGGGTGTGTCCTGGGCATGGTTCAGAGGCCCCAGCCAAGTGCCTCTGGCCCCCCTGTCTGTGGCTTCTGGGACTCGGTTTGCTCACCAGGAAAATGGGCAATGAAGGCCCCTCTGTGACTGGCTGCTGGTGCCACCCACATCACAGGTGCTGCCTGTGCAGCAAGAAGCCAGCCTGGAGACCCCCCAGCCTCTGAGGCCAGGCTTCAGGGCCCTAGAAGTGCCCCACCACCAGGGAGCCCTCACACCACAGGCTGCCGTCATTGCCTGCTCTCGTCATGACCATGTACCCCAGACAGGGTGGGGCCCACTGAACTCTAAGTGGGCTGTCCAGGCGCCCCCAGTGTGTGGCCCCAGGCCATTGATGTTTAGGTCCTCCCCCTAGGATACCAACCCAGGTGCCACAGTGACACATTCTGCTCTAATCTATTAACCGGTTACTGAATCAGTTACTTAGTATGCCAGGATGGATGTGGACTGCTGGTCCCCTTGGCCCACTTCCTCTGGGGGAGGGGGGTGTGCTGTATTGGATTTGATGCCCCCCACCCCATTCCTTTGTGGAAAGAGCTGGCAGATGAGGCAGGAGTCAGCCTGGGTGGGGCAGGAAGGAGGGGCCAGCTGTCAGCACCTGAGGGCTGGCCTTCCACAGGACTTGAGGTTCAGGAAGGGCTCTGCGTTGTCTCCTGCACCTCTCTTCCCAGGATGGTGCCCACAGCCGCTCCCTGGCCCCCCAAGGGTGTCCTGTACCCCCCTGGTCTCTGAGAGGTGAGCAGCCCTCCCTCTGTAGCTTTCTGCTTTCTGCCCCCAGGACTGTGACTTTAGCAGAAGTGCCCATGGTGGGGTGTGGGCCTGTGCTAGCTGTTCTCTACGTGCCACACACACACACACACACACACACACACACCGTCCCGGTTCCTTCTCCCACCCATCCCACCCCGACCCCACAAGCCTGACCCCACGCGGGGTATCACAGGTCCTCTTGCTCTCCAGCTTCTGTGTGGGATTGGCCAATGGGCATGCCCAGTAGCGGCAGAGGGAGGCAGGAGACGGGCACTTCCACTTCTGCCCCTCCCCCTTCCTCAGACCTGCAGGGGTAGCGAGCCCCCTCTTCCTCCAGTAATAGGCCTGGGCTGACCCTCTGCATTTCCCAGGGCTGCTATGACAGATTACCACTACCGGCTGAAATTTCGTTTCGCAGTCGCGGAAGCAAAGGTCTGAGATCCGGCTGTCACAGGGCTGGGCTCCTTCTGGAAGCTCTGGGGAGGGTCCTTCCTGCCCCTTCCAGACTCTGGGGGCTCCAGGAGTCCTTGGGCTTATGGCCACATTGCTCCAGCCTCTGCCTCCATCGTCACATGGCCTTCAGCACTTATGAGGACACTTGTCATCAGAGGTGGGGCTCACCCAGATGCTCCAAGATGCTCCCCTCATCACAAGAGCTGCCCTTATTGACACCTGCAAAGACCCTTTTCCCAGATAGTTTGCACTGTGAGGTTCTGGGGACATGCCGTGGACCAAACCTCTGGAGGCCCCCACTCTGCCCTCCACACACCCTGTGCTGGCTGGTCCCTTTGGTGCTCCCGCCCACAAACTGAAATGTTCTCTGCATTCGGCCTCTCCAGTGGCACTGTCTGGTGGCATTTAGGTCAGAGGTACTTTTGTGGCTCTGGGCTGAGTTGGCCAAATTGCTTCTAAAGAGTCGAGGCACGGCCCCCTGCCAATGTGCCAAGGGAGTCGCTACCCACTTGTCCACCCTCGCCCCCAGAAGGGGGCACTGCTTGAAGTATTGTTGTTATTATTATTGACAAAATTAAGTGATTGTTCCCGTGTCAACATGCTGCCTGGAGGGTGGTATGTGTCACGGGCCTTCCCTTGACATGGGGGCAGGCCCGCTGTTCATGGTGCCGTCTTGTCCGTAGATCTCGTTAAATAAGCCACAAGTAGCCACTATTTCATCATAGCCCCCTTGACAGAGCATTTCCCCCAAGCCCCCTTGCAGTATTGTCTGGCTGAGTCCTGGCACCTACCCTGATGAGGTAGGTGAGCAAGGTGTGAGGGTGGGGGAGAGTCCGCTGAGGGCCAGTGTGGTGACGCAGGGGTCTGAGGGGTGGTCCGCCCTGAAGCGGGAGACCCCTATACTGCTAGACCCCCTCAGTGTTGACACCTGCCTGCCCACTCCCCCCATACGCCCACCCGTTTCCCCAAGGCCCACACCCACAGGGTTCCCAAGTGAAGGTGAGAGAGAGTCAGGAGGCTGAGGGCAACCCAGCCCAGTCTGGTCGGTGACTCAGAGCCAGGCGGCCCAGCTTGCTGGGGCTTGTGCAGTGAGTTCCAAGAGTGGTGTGGACTTGAATCCACCTCCCACCTGCTGTCCACAGCACACCTGGCAGGCAGTGGCTGCCACAGTGCCTGATAGGTGCCCGTCAAGGCTAGTGCCAGGCCGGAGCCCAGGGTAGAGGAGCCCCCTGATCAGTTCCCTCTGGAGGAGTGCCTGGCCCAGAGAGAGTGTTGCTGGTGGGAGCTCCTCTCTGCCCTGCCCCAGGCTGAGAGGAGGGACAGGGACACTGATGCCCCAAGGGAACTTCAAGTCCTCTTTTCCCAGTCTGCCTCTTCCAGGAGGCACTTGGGACCCCAGGGGGCTGCTCAATCTCCCCCAGGCAGCTCACCTGCTCCAACGCACATCCGCACATCTGCACCTTCTGGAAACACTGCTGCCCCAGCCTAGTGACAGGGCACAGAGGCTGGCCCCTGGGACCAGGGCAGGCCACCACGGGATAGAGGAGGAGGGGCCTGTCAGGAATGGCTGAGCTGGGCTGGGCTGATCCCTTGTCCCCAAAGAAAAACCAGCAAATTTGAGAGAGGCTGTGGCTGTTTTTCTTGTTTTTGTTTTTGTTTTTTACATTTTTTTATTGTTAGTTTCAGGTGTACAGAACAATGCAATAGTTACCCTTTTCACCCTCACAAAGTAACAACCCCCCTCCC